GCCATGATCTTAGTTTTTTTAATGTTGAGTTTCAAGCCAGCTTTTGCACTCTCCTCTTTCACCCTCATCAAGAGGCTCTTTAGTTCTTCTTCACTTTCTGCCATTAGGGTGGTTTCATCCGCATATCTGAGGTTGTTGATGTTTCTCCCTGCAATCTTAATTCCGGCTTGTGATTCTTCCAGCCTGGCATTTCTCATGATGTACTCTGCATATAGGTTAAATAAGCAGGGTGACAGTATACAGCCTTGTCGTACACCTTTCCCTATTTTGAACCAATCGGTTGTTCCATGACCGGTTCTAACTGTTGCTTCTTGGCCAATCAAGTCTAGGACCTGCTATATGTTATAGAGGAAGATCCTAGCAATATTGTTTTGAGGACATTCACCAAATGCAAAATAAGCATTCATAAAGAATGGTATGCATTGCTTGAAACAACAACTTTAACATGCCATTCCAAAAAATTATGCCTGCAAGTAGCTCTTATCTGTGTCTCTCCCACATAATTCAATAGACTATGGGGAAGAGAATTTAAAGGAAGAAGCAGTAACCAGGTAAGAAAATGGTCTTATGGCACAAAGCATCTCAGTCTTCATCAAACTACAGCCTTTCATCACCAGGTACAATTTATATCATACCATTTCTGGGATATGCGAAAGAGGAAAACCAACTGGCTTGTGCCTACTGCCCGCATATTTTTAGAGAGAAAAGCCAAGCAATTGGTGGCTTTCATTTGCCCACAATATTAGCTTGTAAATAATTGTACTACTGATCCCACTGTTTGTCAGAACTTTGGTTCATAGTCCTGCTGTCAAAAAATGATAGCGTAGTGATTCAGTTGCTCAACCAAACTCAAAGTCAATCCCACACATTTGTTATAAATTCAGATCATATTTTCATAGTGCCAGTTCTGTGACGGTTCCATTAAAACAGAAGCATATAAGTTTGAAGGGTCCTGGTCACAACCACCATTTTGGGGGTGCAGCCATTGCCATACGGTCAAGTGCAGCTCGTAGCCCAGTGAGAAGCTGTAGACCTCAGCATTAACAGAACTGGGAAACCAACACAGCCCCTTCAGAATTCAGCACTTACATGACAACCAAAGACTGCTCTGAGGAACATTAGGACAGATGGAGATATCGGAGCAGCAGCAGTTACTACTAGTTTCAGCTTCCCACCTGTGGTTTTCTGTCAAGCAATGAAGAAGACACTTGTCAAGTACCATCAAAAGAAATAATAGCATAAATTCTATACAGCATGAATTGCATTTATTAACCTTGACAAAATATAAAGAGGAACACATACCTGAACTTTGTTGAACACTAGCTTGTCCCACATGCTAGTGTTTCGGACAATGCCCTGTTTCAGTTCAGCCATCTTTCTACCAACAGCAACATTTAGCAACACTTCCTTAAATCTCGTTTGGGCACCACTTTGAATCTGCAATAGATCAGATCACCTAATGAGAAAGCGATTATGGGCAGCCTACTTGACTTTCACAAAAATCAACTTGTTCTTACTTTATGGTATACGTTGATACTAGTGCTTCCCTACAACCACCAATTATTTTTCTAATCTTGAATGTAATGTTGATACAGCTGACAGACTAATCCAGATAATTGGATTTGAGGAATTTTTTAATGTGAATTTGTCATTCATTCATTCATTCATTCATTCATTCATTCATTCATTTTGCTATATCAAGCTATTAGTTAAAAGTGATTTAGAGAAAAGCCTAAATCTGACTACAGTACATCCAATGTTACTTGAATGGTGGAAAGTTCTCACAATATCCTAAGGTGTAATGTACTTTGTTAGGTTTACTGTGTTTATGAACCCAATCACTGTAATTTGCAAATATGTTTTACATATTATTTAAGCCAAACTAGCTGTGATTTATTCAATAAATTACAAGTAAAATATAGTTCAACTTGTGGTATGAACTCAGCCATACTTAAGCAATGAGACTTCTCACTCTTCCTTTCCCACACCATTTCTCAAAGAACCCCTTAATCCTCTGGAGCAGATTTATAGGGGTAAGAAAAGAAAAACTTTTTTTCTGGTGGCTGATTTTCTGTCAATAGATGGATATCAAGGCATATACAGGTAGTCCTCACTTAATGACTGTTTGATTAATGATGGTTCAAAGTTACAACAACCTTGGGAAAAGTGCTTTACAACCTGTACTCACACTTATAACTGTCACAAACCATTGCACCACCCCTTGCGGTCATGTGATTGTACTTTACAATCTTTTTTACAATGGTTGTTAAATGAATCACCACAGTCATTAAGCAAATCATGTGGTAGTTCAGCAAATTCCAGCAAAAAAGTCCATTGGAGAAGCTGGATTTGTTTAATGACCATGTGATTTGCTTAACAATGTGATTCCCTTAACTGTCATACAAATGGTTGTAAAATCGGGTCCAGTCACATGGTGACTTGCTTAACGACCACCCTGCTTAGTGACCAATTTTACGGTCCCTATTGTGGTAGTTAAGTGAGGACTACCTGTAACCCATATTTGTTAGGAATTGTAACTATTTAAGGGGAGCCTGTTTTGCACTGTTTTACCTTGTCATAGATCCTATTGAGCAGCCTGGGTACTACTGGAAATACTGTTGGCTTCAGTGCTTTCATGTCATCTGTAAGAAGTTTAATATCACCTTGGAAGAATCCCACTCTTGCTCCAGAGCTGTACATTATAGACTAGAAGGCAATGAGAGAATTGAGTTCAACATTCTGCAAGCCTAGGCATTCCAGTTTGGCAAGAGTTAGCTGATATCCAGAAATCAAATTGGAGAGATCATGATTAGAGAGAAAAGGAGGAAACGGATTACATTTACAACAAAGGCTATTACTAGAAAAACACTTCCAGATCATACAGATTAACGATGTGGCTCTAACAGTTCAAGAAATATTTGTGCTAACAAGAGATCCTTCCTTATTACAAATGTGAAAGAGTAGAAGCCAAGAGAAAAACCAAAAGTAAGAAACAAGCAATTACTGCCTTTAGAAACTTGATGGGAGTTTCTACTTTCACCTTCCCTGTGCAGACAAGGTTAAAGCAAACAAACCTTTATTGGCACTGTTTTTTTCCCCTACCAAAAATATGGGGAAATGATTTCCACACATTTGGAGCTGGATGGGAAGAACTAGTGTTCCCCTTCTTGTAACCAGGGGACCCGATCCAAATCAGGCCTCCATGTATTTACTATTAAGGGCAAATCATAAACTGAAATGACACGTAAGCTAGCCCTCCCATAAGCTTTTAAAAATTAAGAAAAAGCATCATATACAAGGGTGTCTGCAGGGAACAGTCCAAAGAGTCAATATGACAGCCACGACAATGCAATTGAAGTTCTGCAGCTTGTGTGTGTCACATATGCAACGCACATAAAAAATGGGCAGAGCTTTGATCGCAGTGTTACGGCCACCATCTTGACCTTTTGGACCATCCCTTGCAAACCCTTCTGATAATATGTACACACTTGATTCGTGGAAAAACACAACTTAGAAAACACATCTTAGAAAGGCATTTACCTGCACTATTCTCTCAAACATATGAGCTAGAGGAAGGTACGATATGGATATATCGGATGTCTCACAAGCAGCAGTATTCTGGAAAGAAAAAGAAGCATCAACAGCTTGGATCACAGTGATGCTATTTCAGATGTTCTAAAATGACAACAAAGGTTGCCTTCTCAAATTCATGACCCTGGGTGGCTACCAACAGTTAAAAACATGTTACACTTACTTCCATGATCATCAGGAAAGCAGCAGCATTTGCAACAACATTTGCATGGGTTAGCAATGCTCCTTTGGGGTTACCTAAAAAGATATTTGGAACAAATATGTTCTTGGGTCTCAGGAACTAGGCATATGAGTGCAAAATCCAGGCTAGATTAAAAGCATATCAACTGAGCTTTCTGAAATGTGTTAAAATTGCCAAATTTTACTCTGAAGCACCAGGCTATTAATCTGAAATGGGCCTCTGCATGATTAACTATTATTAGCATTGATTATATAATTAGGTACCCCTTCAGGGATCACTGCCTTGTCGTGGCAAAGGGGCTTGCGTAACTCAGTGAAGCCATGAGCTATACC